AGTATTTATAATGCTATTCTTTCAAAACATGAATTAAATTTTTTGATTCATTCAAAGTCTATTTCCGATAAGTGAGGAGTATAACTTAGTTCAGATGAAGGAGATAAGTGATTTTTGGTGATGGTAGAGATGTCAGTGGAATGGTGAGATGGAGGTAGAACGTAGGTAGAATGTGGGTAAATGAAGATTAGGATGAGCTACCTGACGGAGTGCAGACTTAGAGGAAGGCTTTGTGGGGCTTTGTGAGGAAGGAGGCAGTATTAAGTGCTGGAGGAAGCAAGTGAGCAAGAATGCAGGGCTGAGGCTGCTCTAGAAAGGATTCATGAGCTGTGCTAGGATGTTCCAACTGTGTTCTGAGGACAACAGAAGTCGCTGGAAGGTGTGTCTTGAAGTAACCCATGTATGCTCTTTAGAAGGTTTCTCTGGCTGTCCTCTGGGGAAGAGGTAGTGAGGAACAAATGTGAAGATGAGAAGTGCGTAAGAAGCCTGGAACAACGATCCAGCTATTCATGGCCAGGAATGTAGAAGGAAAGGGGTAGAGGCAGGTGTCTGTGGCTTTCTGGTGAACTGGATTCACATATATGAAGGAGAGGCAGGAGCCTGGGGAGGCACCTGGGCACTCCTTGGCAACCTGTGCCGGGTCTCTGAGGTCCAGAAGAGGAAGGAAGAGGAGCCGAATCTAGGAGAAAGCCTGATTGGGATCTGATTTTGGTGAGATGTTTCAGATACTGTATTTGAATAGTCCGGGTGGCTAAAGATAGGAGCATTGACTGGGGCTAGGGAAAGGGATAGGAGAGACCAGCACATTTGCTTGTTGACTGATGTAGGGGAAGATTTATGGTCACCTGAACTAGGTGTGCCTGGAATGACCAAGTTCTGAGAATCAAGTCCTCATGGATGCCAAAACGTAAGGAGTGAGCAGGAAGATGAGCAGATGAAGGAGAAGGAGAGCAGAGAGCTTAAGGGAACAAGGGAGGAGCTCGGTCATGGGTGCTGGGAAAGACTGTTTTTGTGAACGAGGCTATTTTGACACATAATGTTTTCAAACTGGAAGCATACAGGGTCATAGCAAGGACTCTTTGGGAAATAGGTCTTGCTTGATCTCACAGCATATTGTAACCCTAGGCCTCAGCACCATCCTCAATATAATGAGTCTTTCACACATCTGGCTTGCTATACACACAGGCTCAGCACTGACATGAAAAGGAAGCAAATGACTTCTGAAACCAAGAGTGGGTTTCACTGCTCTATATAAATCCTGTCTTTATGGTTTGGTTCATCATTCTCATTAGCATGCTATCTGATTGGCAGGCAGAGAGACACTTGCATGGAGATGAGAGGAGACAGGAGAGGAACGCAAGGGAAATGGAGCTGTTAAAATATTGGTGGAAGTGAACAGCCACAGGAGATGACAAGATGGAATCCTCAGCTCCAATCCTCTAGTGGCCTTGGAAAGGATGGAACAGGATGGCAGGGACAGCGTTTGTCAGGCAAATGGCGAGAGAAGCTGTTTTGAATGAGCTTTAGAACTCCTGTGGGTGTTTCTGCTTTCCGGCATACAAGGCATCTTGATGACTGCCGGTCCATTTGAGACCATCAGCAGCGTGGTGAGGCAGGTGTTACGGCTGTTGCCTCCCACAGGAGAGCCTGCAGCACCGGGGTGGGGATGAGGGAGAACTCAAGAGCTGTGCCAGTGATTCTCCACCAGAGCCCATAGAGGTTCTGTGATGCAAGGTTAAGGAACATTACCAACTCTGATAGAAGAATCACAGAGAGACATCAGATGTGGAAACCCTGGCCTCCAATCCAGGACCCTGTGCCTGGAGAGTCCAGCTGCCTACAGAGAAGACTCTTCCGGTATAAGCACCGCCATAGACTATCCGCAAGGCTGCTGAGATCCTGGATGCTGTCATGAATGGATGAACAGCCAGCAGAGGGAACTGGATACAAAACAGCTTAGTAAACTGCTGAGTCTTAGCTATGAAACCTGATCCATCCAAGGTCTATTGCTGTTTCTCGTGACACCATCCAAAAAGAAATACACACTTTGCCTGACTTATGAAACTGTGATAGTATGTACATCACCATTATAATAACAATAAAAAATAAAAGCATCACATGAAATATATGCTTCTTCTGCAGTTATCTATTTTTTCTCCTTAGGACAAACATCAGAAGGGCACGCCTCCCTCAAGTTTCAGGTTTAGATACCATGTGTGTTTGGTCTCAGATATGTCATGATCAACCATGGCTTTGTTGTGATCAGAACAACCAACTAGAAGAAAGGTCCAGTGAATTAAATGTGTCTAAGTAAAATAAAGGAGCTATTATGCTAAGGATAGGGGTCCCTGGGTCCCTGTCCTCAGTTCCTGGCTGTAGTAGAAAAGAATCCAGTGACCGATGGCGCTGGTTCTGTCAAGTCACAAGCAGCTGCCTTTCCCAGGCCAGCCCCCGCCCCAGCTGTCCTCAAACTTCCCGTGTTCTCTAGGATTTGCTCTGTAGTTTTCCTTCCCTTACTTAATACTTTCAAACCTAAACCATGTAATTCAGAATCCAATAAAGTCGCAATACTTGCTCCATCTTTCACTTTGGCCCATGTCTGAGATTTTTCATTGGAACTGTCTTCATTTGTTAAGCCTATAATAAGCTATTGCTGCTTAATAACTAGATTGGAAATGTGGATAATTAAAAGATATTGATCAGACAATTTTCCATGGTTAAAATTGTCAATGAAGAACAAAATAGAAATCTATTTCCTCACTGGTTAAAAATAATTCATGAAGATGAATGAAAGAGTTTTCTCATGGAAGGACTTTTCAGATGGGAAACCTTTTTTTTTTTTTTTGCATTTTGAGCTTGGCGATGAGCAATCCTATGACACAGAGTATAAAGATGCTTCAGTTCACAACTGCATAATTTGGAAATGATTAAGAACAGCTCTTTCTGAACATTTTTTAATCATGGGTCAACTCAAAACATCACCTTGATTTCTCCAGGTCATCCTTAGATCTCCTTATATGAAACACACTTCCACCATCATTAGTTCTTGAATCTTAGTTCCATTAAGTTCCTGTCAACACATTCTTATTTTCATGGAAATACGAAGACAATTACACTTTCTGAATTCTACTACCAACATAAAAAAGCAGAGAAAGTGGGAAATTCAGACTACTACTCAACAGACATCTTTCAGGGTCTCCAATGCACCTAAGTATGAGCAGAGGTACGCCAGCAAGGCGGCAGCTTTTGGGACACAGTGAAAGGGCTGTTTTCTAAGCAGTTCTATTTCTTGGAGCTTCTGGAGCTGCTGACTCAGAACCAGCAGCTCAGGTCTACAGCATGATCTTCATGGCTGGCTGTCAGTTTAGCCAAAGGATTCGTTCCTGGGAGAAGCTCCACTTGGCTTCCAAAGGAGTCTAAGAGGGAGCTCTGCAGGGATGCTGGGATAGAACTATTGTGCAAAACAGAACAGAGCCCCAAAGCACTTGCTCATTGCAAAACACAAAAGACTTAGATGCAATTAATTGAGAACACTCTGCTAACATTTACGATGTGTTTCAACTCAGGCGTAGCACCTTTTAGGGAAGAAATGGCTAAGTTAAACTCTATAAACTCAGACAGAAAGCAGTGAATGCCAATTGGAAGTAGAAAGGCCTTGGGGGAAATCTGGAAATAGATTATAAGTTAGTTGAGCCAGTTATTAAATATTTACTTTTTCCCACGGGCTGAGAAAAAAAGACAAAGCTTCCCTGTGGCAAGACAGGTCTCCCTCCCTACCCTATGTGACCGACTATGGCCCCTCGTTCCTGCCCAGAGAGTCAGTTGGACACGGAGGGTGTTAATTGGGAACAAACGCATCACATACAATGACCTTGGTTCCTTCCTTCTCCACTGGAAGCCAGGATGATCTTCGGTTAGTGGCTGAAGGAAGCCCAGGTGCCCGTCCCCACCCCTGGTTTTGCTCCCTGAGTCCTGATACTTCTCATTTTCCTCCATCTTGTTGTCTACCCCTGTTTATGAATGCTTGCTGTGCTGCCAACAACAAAACAACGGCTTCTGGGAGATATCACTAGAACTATTTCCCACCTCTACCTACTCCCCCTCCAAAAAAGTTGCGAATTCTTTATACAACAGCATTGGAAATGAAGTGTGGAATCTAATCTCTATACATGCATTTGTCACGTTTTATTTTTGAGCCACTCTGGGAGGGATGCCTTCTTAGATGCACCGCTCCCGTCTGCCTGAAGTCGCATCGAGGAAAATGTCAGGGTCCCAGATGGCCTTTGGTGGTCAGTGGGACTGTCTTCTTTCCCAGCGCACAGCAAAGTGCTGAGGATTCAGGGGCTAACCCTGGCTCAGGTGTCTGTGTCTTCCAGCTACTCCTGTGAGCTGCGGCGATTCTTTGACTTCCTCAACTGTGTTTTATCATTTTCCTGATTCCTTTCTAAAATTACTTGTCAAAACTTGTTCTTGATTTTGTTTCCCCAGGATTCCTGAGCTCATTACCTTTTAGTCTATCATGGAGTTCAGAAGCTCAGAACAGGCCTAGATGATGTACTATTGTTTACAACATTGCTTCACTTAGTTAAAAAGAGCTAGAAGAATCTTGAGTATTTTCACCACAATGAAATAATAAATGTCCAGAGCTGATTATTATACCATATATATTTTATACATCATACTGTAAATATGTAGAGCTATTATGTACCTATTCAAAACAAAAGAAATCATAAACTCTTAGCAAAAATAACTTGGGATAGGATTCCATGGCTGTGGGTCTGTGATCTAGAGACAGAGGCTCATGCATTTTGGAAGACATTAGAGACAAGGCCTAGATCTCTTTCTGCTTCCTCACTGATTCCCTTGTTTCTGGGAATGTGAAGCTGGGGCTGTGGAACAAGTGGCCTCTGTACCTGAGATGCTTCTTGTTATGGCCAGAGGCTGGGCCGTGGGCCCGGGGCTGCGTGTAGCTCATGGCCAGCAGGGTGAGAAGACCTTACCTTCTTGTATAGGCTCCTCAGATCTCGGTACTGCCACATGCTGTTTAGGACCTGAGATGCAGCCTTGACCACTTTTGGAGAGTGTCTGATGAAGAAAAGACAGGAAACGCAGATGGTGAGTGACAGCTGGGCTTGGACCCAATTCCTTGTCAGGAAGAATCAAGATCTATATCCCCCTGGCTTTTCTGACTCTTTCTTGCCTCCAGGAGAGTACAAGGAACTGTCTATCTGTCCCCAACTGTTGTCATCCTCACCCACACATCCACAAGCCTGAGACACAGGAAGGCATTACAGTTTGGCAAAGAATCTTCTCAATGCAAATAGTACAGTAGTGACATTTTTGTGAGAATGCAGATTTGGGATTTGTCTGGAAAAGAAAGTAGAAAAAAGAAACACACTCAGGGTCACAGGCATTCATGCTCATGGAATATGTAAGCTCTATAATAGATGGTATATGTAACTATAGAATATATGGCATAGGAGAGCCATGTAGTATGAGTTTTGTGTAAGATTTCCTGGCATAGCCCCTTTGAACAATTGACACATAGTTTATGAAAATGAATACCAGGAAGCGGGAACGTGTCATGGCAGGGGGCGGGGTAGTGGATTGGTGTGTAAATCCAGCCACAATAAATAAATACATAATAAATAAATAAATCCAGCCATGTCTATATGTGGGAACTCAAGGAGATGGGTGGGATGAGATAGATGAGGGACAGAACGATGGAAGGGATACTCTGGTCAAGACCAGTGTCCACACCAGTGGACATGCTTTAACAAAAAGAGGAAAAACCCCCACGCATCAAGTAGCGCTTGAAAAGGGCTGGATTCCGGGGACTGGGTAGTAGTGTAGGATGGCAGACCACACCTGCGTCATAAGGAAAAGACGGTCCCGGTCCCCACCGAGGCCTAGGAGCACACGCTGCCTGATCTGTGCACCTGTGCCCTCTGCCAGGGGCTCTCCTCTTCCCGCGGACGCTATGCACAAACCTGGCTGGGAAGCCCGATGCGTGTAGGGCAGGTGCTCTTGAGCGTGCACTCAAGAGGCCCGTGCCAGGGCAGGCCTCTAGAAATAGAGCCCTGCACGCCCTGAAAGTGCTTTCCTCTGCACCACAGTGCACAGGGAGAAGTCAAGATCATAGGAACTTCTGGAAAGGGCTTCTTCATCTTCAAAAGCAGGTAGTAGGCTGGGCAGGGCCTATGGGGGATTTTGGTGTGGACACCAGTGGTCCACAAGAATGATCACTGTTTACAGCTCCCAGGTGATAACCCAGACTGAGCTGACTGGTGCTGCGTGGCTGACAGAACTGCTAGACACAAGATCTAAATTCTAACCAAAGGTGCCTTTGACATAAAATAGCTTTTGAAATAGAAAGTGGGCAGATGGAAGACTGGTCAGTTGAGGTTGGAGAGGCGAGGCATTTCAAGGATATGCCTTTTGTAATCAAATTATCACATGTTGGTCCACAGCTGACACAATGACTGCTTTTATTGTGGGCCTTCATATTTAAAATTAGATTAATTTTAAGGTCTCTTCATCCCTTGGCTGGAGGACAACAGGAACAGTCATCTATTATCTCTGAATTGGAGTTCAACTTGGGCTGCATGATATCAAGCATTTTAAACAAAACATACAGCTTTTATAAAAATCCACATTGTGTTCTCTGACAGATTAGCCATATTAAGGTAACATTTATTTTATTTTTCTAAGATGAATCATTATAAAATTATTACCCAATTTATGACAGTATCATCATCTCAATGTAAGTTTAAATTCCTCTGACTTAATGACAGGGAATTTTAGACCATTTTGTGGAGACAGATAAAGGTACACTTATTACTAGATAAGCAATGAGAAGCAAAATATGAACTGTTCTGCTTTGTTGTATTTAATCACTGTTAGGCAGAGATTTGTCTGTGAGAGAGTTCGCTCAACCCTAGAAGAACATCTATTAGTGTCTGGGTAGCGATAGTGTGGTGGAAGCATTCAGTATGAAAAATTCCTCTGACAGAGGGCAATATTTTATTTCTACTCATTGTGTAGCTACAAAATAGACACTGTGAGTGTGTAATGAAGAAAAGAGTTCTCAAATTAAACACCAATGTGTATCAGTGTTACAATGACAGACAAAGGTCAAAGAAACATTGCTTTCTTTTTAGGCTTATGTTTGTGGTCCATCCACTAGATTGGTATTATAGAAATATCCACTTGAGAAACTGTAACTATTGATTGAAGGACTTGAAGAATTGAATCTTTCTAATGTGACAAGTGATTATAACTTGAGCCACAACGTACTGACAAGGAACAGTTGAGACTGTTAATAGCTTTTCTGTCTCATGACAAAATACAATGACACATTCAGCACTATTTCCTATACAACTGTTAAAATTAGAAAAAAACATGTAGTTTTGAAGTGTATGAACACAATAGAGTGACCTTACTTGGTTTTAAAATTATGTGAAAAGAATAAGTTATCAAGATTTCAAATGACAAGTATGAGATTTGGGTTAATAACAATTATACTGTGCCTGATCTTCACTAGACTGTCCAATCACAGCTGCCCGGGAAACGTGAGTCACGCATTGTATTTCCTTCCGTCTGTCCAGCCCAGTCATGCCAGCAGTAGGGCCCCAGATTACCAGTCCCCTTGTCTATGTGTCCTATGCACTCTGAGAGGTACAGCCCACCAATCATGCCTGTAACTTGCCAGTTTGATTCATTCACGTCATTACACATTTAAGCATGTTCATATTTAGAAATAAAATAAATACATAAAATGGAGAGTCACAGCTAAGTATTTTTTCCCCTTCTTGTGTTTCCCCACACTAGCTCAATCCCAAAGCAGCTTGACATGATTCCCTGAAGTAAGTTTTCAAGAGCAATTTAGGGTGAGAATTCTATCAGTTAACCACATCGAATTGATAGCCCTGTCATGTCCAGTTATTGAATCAACTGCAATTCCAAGAATTCCATTTCCAATAAGGAGTTTTTATTTTATTAAAACATGTCTAGAGCTCATGGAATCTCAATATCTGAAGTAATTATAGAATCATGACAAATAGTGAGTCTTGGATTTGTTTCCTTTTGACAACAGTATAATGCAATTACCAAATTGAAGAGGGGGTAGGGAAAGAGAAGCTATTTTTTTAAACTCGTTTTGATCCTTGCATTAGTTAGTATATATATATATATATATATATATATATATATATATATATATAAAAGAGGAAAATGACAGGGAAAAAACATAAGTCTGAGTAAGCTGGATACCTATAATTGGAAAGATACTGACCCAACTCAATTCAACAACACTTCCAGTCAGGTTTGACTTTTATTATTAAATGAATAAATCTAGCCTGATGATACTGAAAAATATCTTCCCCTTGTAATCAAATTTGGACCAGATCTAACTAGGTGATTTTCTGCATTAACAAAAAGGGCATATACTATTTCATAGATAATTCCTCCCAATCACTTTAAAATAGTTTCACTAATGGTTTTCTTTGATCATAGGTCTGATGAAAGCAAGTTTTCTATCTTCAGCTCATTGGATGGTACCACTATATGAATGCTCAGATTGTTAAAGGAAGTTAATAAATGTCAAACCACTCTCCAAAACTCAAATTTCAATGTACTTTAATATTTGAATGATTCATGACAATAAATAATGTAGTTTTTGTTCAGCATACTTTGTTTCTCGTGTATATTCTTCGAAAACATTAATACATTAACCTCTCAATGCTCAAAACAAGCAAGCAATTTAATTCAAGATCCTAAAGATCAACTAAGATCTATGAAGAAGAGCACTGCATAGTTTCCTGCCTGTGTGGTATAGTATTTTACATCCTAAGACAAGCATAATTCAAACCAACAATTTAAATCCCAAAATACTGCATAAATCCAATAAAGTTTCTCTACTTGATATACAGTGGGACCCATTTGGAAGTCTCAGGGTGCTTAAACAAAAATGCCTATTTTTTAATACCCTGATAAAATACTGAGTTAAATAAAATAGAAGATTTTCAGAACTTCTCAAAGTGTATTTCTCAGTCTCTAATAACAAAAGAGAAATTACTTAGCATTAGAGATAAAAGAATGAGAGGCAGGGAATGAGAAGTCAAGAAGTAGGCAGGCACTTGATAACAAAAGGTTTACCCTTTTAATCTTCTTTGACTACACTGAAGGATTTGTGAAAGGCAAAATTTAATTAAGGTGAGTGAAGGTTTCTGTAGGAATTGACAACCCAGCAATAGACTAACAATTTGGCCGGAGAAGGTATTTTTCAGTTGCACGCAGTAAAATTCCCTGGATTCTTAAGTCACCCTGGAAGACTTCCATCTGGTGGTATGGTGCATTCATTTCTACTCTTACCTTTTCATTCCACTTCTCTGCAAGCTCCCCTTCATAACTTTCCTTGAACATTTCTATACGTTCTTTCAAGTTTCATTAGTATTCCAGGACATATATTATATATGAAAGTTTTCAGTTAGGAAACATGACCCCAGTGACTTGTTAAATTAAATGGTTTGCCCTAAATCTCACAGTATGAGAAGGTACTGGATTCTAACTGAGTTCTCTCTGCCCTCTTCCTGCCCTCTTGTCTTCCCTTATCCTTCCTCTTGCTAGGCAGAGGTGAAGAGGCATAGAACCAAAGAGCATTCCTCCATCCACACAGACTTGCAACCACACAGAGGGTCACTGCCGACAGAGGGATGCTCTCATGCACCCAGATGAGCTGGTTGTCTGCTCTGCCAGAGGAACAGCACACTGTGCTGGCCGGGAGTGACGTCTACTCTATTGATACTTTCAAACCAAGACTCGGAATCAAAATAGCTAGTGGGATAAGTTTGCTGTTTCCTTCCCTTGATTATCACTAACAGATATTTTCCAATGGCAGTATGCTACATGAAACCACTCAGTGTGCTAATAATGCATGCCTGTAATCCCAGCTATGAGACAGTAGGAGGGGATCATGAGTATGAGGCCAATACTGGTAAAGTTAGCAGGTCCTTGTCTTAAAACAAAATGCAATAACAGGGTGGAGATGTGGCTGAAGGAGTAGCAAGCATGCCTGGGGTTTAGGTCCTACTACCACAAAGTAGTTTAAATAATACATAGATTATGAACACATACATAAATACAGGCATGCATGCACACATACATGCATGCACACATGCATGCACATATAACAAAACCAAAGGAACTAGTCCTACCAACACACAGACATGAAGTCACCAGCGAACGTACTTATCTCCTTTGCTTTTGGAAATGCCCACCAACTTCTCGATGCCGCCGGCATCGCGTAAGGCTTTGGCGTTCTCCATGTTCTTGGTGATCACTTCGTGCAGGGTGCAACAAACAGCTGTCACGGTGTCATCCGACATGGCCTTGCTCGCTGCGTTGTTGCTGTTGTTCCCGCCTGGGAGCCTGTGCACCAGGTCTCGCATGGCGTATTTACCTTTGGAAAAGAAAATGAAGGGAAGAGGTGAGACATGGTCAAATGGAGGAAGGGGGTGGAGGGAGAAAACCAAGAGGCAATGCCAATACTGTTCTGTCTGCTCCCCAGTTTCCCATCATTGAATGTTCTTCTGGGTGATTTCAAACACACACACACACACACACACACACACACCCTCATATTTCCCAGTGCTCAAGTCTCTGTATAAAACAGCATATGTACTTCTTTCCTCACACTTTTTCATCTGTGGATTACTTTCAATGCAGAATGCAAAAACATACTATTTAAATATTATACTACAATGTTTAGGGGCTATAAGAAGAAGAAGAGTCAGTACATGATCAATATGATCAATACAGATGTAAATTATATATATGCACATATATCTGCAGTTGGTTGAATTCAAAGATGAGGGACCTATAGATATGGTGAGCCAAGGCCATTTCCTCATGGGAAGTCATTTTATGCCTCTAAGCTTCAGGTGTGTCCAAACTATACAGCAAGACGAATAATGGTACCTAACTTACAAGATTACTTTAAAGATTTAATGAGTAAGTATATAGAAAGGATTTAACCCATTACTAAAAAGGATACAGACTCAGGAGACACTAGCTGTTGAATTTCTCTTGAAGTTCATGTAAATCAAGATAATGTATAGCAATTTTTTTTTGTATAGCAATTTAAGACAGCCCTCAAAAGTACCTTAATGGGAGGAACGTTGGGACCTATATTATTTTTACCAAGAGTCAAACTACAAATATGTGACCACAAGATCACATTTGTGAGTTCTGACCCCTGTGAAGGAAAGGGAGACACTGAAAGCAGGAAGAGAACCTAGAAGAATGATCTAACTAAATAGCCAGCATGCGAGCAAGCTTGCCCCCCTGCTGAAAATGTTATTGTACTCCTCTATAATACAACATTCACAGATTTGGCAAATTTTGCTTTATGTGAAAAATAAAAAAAATCCAACTCTACCTCCTTAATTCACTTTATTGCTCTTAATCTCACCATTCCTGGTAATTAAAGGTACTTAGAATGACATATTTATAGAGTACTTTCATTTAGTTTCCAAAGCATTACCAATAACCCAGCAGAACAATGAACTGATCCTACCTATAACCTCTAATTCTGTTTCTTTACTTGTGGAAGTAAGTGAGTGCCCATAGCACAACTGGATGTTCTTAATTTTTTTTTTTTGTCGGTCATGGGGCTTGAACTCTGGGCCTGGGTGCTGTCCCTGAGCTCTTCAGCTCAAGGCAAGCGCTCTACCACTTAAGCCACACCGGCACTTTCGGTTTTCTAGTGGTTTATTGGAGATGAGTCTCATGGACTTTCCTGCCCGGGCTGGCTTTGAACCATGATCCTCAGATCTCAGCCTCCTGAGTAGCTACAGGCATAAGCCACTGGCGCCCAGCTTGTTCTTAATTTTTTTGGTACAATTGCCAAGTATCTACTTCTTAGTTCTTTATGAGACATAGGGCACTAGCTCCTCAAAGCTGTCTGAAAGATTTTACCTTCCATTTATCTCTAACTGCTACCTACACTTGCTGCTAAGTCCTCTAGTCCTCTACTTCTGGGGGTAGAACAAAGAACCCTACCTGAGTAGGCAGAATCTTAATTTCAGTCAGTAATTCATAAAACACAGGCCCACTGATTTTGGTTTCTGCTTTACCCACATTCAGATGACTTGTTTTAGCTTGGACAGAAAATGTTGATGTTGAAATGACTGAAATAAAAGTGTCTTCATTCACTTGATGAGCAGAGGATGTCTCTTGGGAAACTGGCTTGCCTGAAACCCCAAGTGTGGGGTATTATTTTCTAACGACAGCACTCAGAACTGTTTAGAGAAAATGCTCAGTACACACACAGTCTTTGGAACAACATGCTCCATCTGTCTGTCATGAAGTCAGACTTGACTTTGGCTAGGAGTCCACTCCTGCCCCACTTAGCCATTAGAAAACAAATGTGAGAGCCACAGAAATGAGAAGGTGAGCTTGTTCTCTTTTCTCTGGAAGGAAAGTGATGGAGGAAGATCATCTTCATCTCTGTGCCCACAGGACAGAGTATGGGAGACCAAAGATATTCGCCAAGGTAGACAGCAAAGAGGACAGGGAGACTGGTGACAGTCTCCTCAAGGAGTGAGAAGAGAGAGACCAGAGTGTCGTCGTCATGTTCAGGAAATGGGGACCCCTTTCCCCACTGAGCAGCCTCTCCACGTGCCTCAGCGTGCTGCGAAAACACCGTGTGTAAAAGGTCAGGGGTCACATGCTCTGTGAGGCCTTGAGCAACTCAGCCGTGGGGGAGGCTCAGCGCATGGCACCGTTCCCACAGGGGTGCACAGACCTGCTTGGCGTTGGAGACTTTTCGTGTAGTGTACACTCACCAGGAGATACACTAAGGCTTGTACATGGTTGAACAAACAAGGCAGATAAAATCACTGAGTAAAGGGAAGACCTCTGGCAAAGTTTGCTAATTCCTTCAAAGACAAACATTCTTGTTTGTTTTATTTTTTAATGTATTTTTTATCTGATGAACGGAAATCTGTCTTTTTTACATTGGAATCAGAATCCTGCCTTCTCTTCACAGGAAACTTTGGGCAGCAAGGAAAGTGTTGAGCCTTTTCTGGCATTTAGACACTTTAAGGCTAACTGTGGTGGGGGTGGAGGGGTGAGTGGGGGGAGAAAAGGAAATGCGAGCAGAGAATGAATACAGGCACAAGGGATGTGGTACTGTGTGCCTGTAATACCACCTCGGGAAAGCGAGAAATCCGATTGGACTAGGGCTGTGTCAGAAGGCTTCACTATGAGGTGTTGAAGCCAGGATTGCTCTGCTGGTCAGGAAAGCAACAGAACCAAGTTGATTGTGACAGAATTCTGATATGTTCAACGGAAGGTTCCAGCATAGTAATAAGACTGAAGGGTGAGAAGTGTGGTCTTTTTCTAATCAATGAAGCTGTCTAGTCTGCACCTCTGGATCTATCAGCATTGTAACTCCAGTAGTGCTCGTGCCTTATAACCATTCCTTGTCCCCCAGATTCTTTTATCTCCAAGTTCCTAACACTAGAAAAAAAATCTATAAAGTGTTTCTTCCCTGTTTTTAAATCTCCAGCCCTCAGTCAGACTTGGGTCCCTGAAGGGTAGAGTTAATTCTTTTCTCCCCACACAGTGGCAATAAGGAGACTTTGTAAGGCTCAAAATTTTAATTTTTAACAGCTCAACACCACCAAGCTGATCAAGTTATTGATTTTCTTTTTTTAAAGAGAGAAATGGATGGAGCTGTCTTGTATGTCTCCGAAGGGGGTGGGGGAGGGGGACTGGGCCAGCTTCTCTAGGACCCAGGATGGGGAACAAGTGGGAAGCTCAGCAGCAGTCCCAACGGAGCTTGGGATGCTCTACGAAATCAGAGGAAACAGGAGCTTGGGGCTCACTGGGGCTAAGCCTGGCATGAGGCAGAGGAGAGTGAACTACTCTGGCCTGAAAAAAGAGACAGTAGCATCAGCAATCTGAAGACCAGAGTCTTCTGGTTTTAATTTGATCAAAAATCAGAGAAAGGGCTGGCACCAATTGAAAGTGATGGAGGGACTTATTCTGATGTCACCATATGGAATATCCCAGGACACAAACAATGGAATTGGAGACTACAAGGAGGTCCCATGGGCTGTAGGAAGACAAGAGAGCAGCCATGATGGCATTCCGGCTAACAGGGCTTGAAGACCAGCAAAGTGCAGAAGTCATGCATGGCTCAGAAACTTCTAGCTGGACAGATGAAAAAAGGCAGAGAAGCAAATTTGGGCTTTATTTGTTTTTAAAACAAAGAAAAAATACTCCAAACTGGGTATGTGATGGCTTTTTCCTAGTGACATTCATGCTGAGACTGGATTCCCAAAAGAATGGTCTTGAGGTGATGAGATCTCCATCTCTTGCGTTGTGTCTCTTTGCATAAGACCCTTTTCCTTTCTATACCTTCTCCTTTTTCCACCAAGAGTTATAGCATAATGCACCTTACTACTTATCATGAGTTCAAGGCCACCACGGGTCATAGTAATCAAATACTGTCTCATAAATAGAATAAAAATGAGAGGACTAGGTTTGTAACTCAAGGGTAGAGCAGTACATGAAGCACTGGAGTTCAATCCTGAGGACCACTCAAAGGATTACATTCGTTCTATGAGAGAGTCACATGGGAAGGTCCATGGCAGAGTAAACTGGTCACTGACATTCAAGGACTCCGAGAGGTGTGAGGAAAAGCAGGTAGCTCACCTGGCCTTCCAGTGTGTGCAAATGGGACTCCCACCTTAAAAGAAAGGCTCGCTCAGAGGGAAGCAGAACTCAACACAGTACTGCACACTGCATACCTCAGTCTCAGGAGAGTCCCTTGGGTCCTTTCTTCTAAGTTAGTTTTTATGAAAAGGACTTTATCTCTGATTTTTGCTATCCTAGGAGATGCCTGTTAGAAAGCTAATAATTATGCGTAATAACTAATAATTGTGTGTAAAAGTTAATAACTATGCACAACCATGTTTTATTTATACCCATAACAGATTAAATGCAGTCTTGTAACATTGCTGCCATTTTCTCTGTTGGATATTTATCATAAACACTAAAGTACTTAGAGAACTCTTTTTTTATGTTGATTCTTTATTTTTATTTTTTTATTTTTTATTTATTTGTTTATTTTTTGGGTCCAGTCGTGGGGCCTGAACTCTGGGCCTGGGCGCTGTCCCTCAGCTCTTCAGCTCAAGGCTAGCGCTCTACCACTTGAGCCACAGCGCCACTT